TCACTACAAAAATAAGAACACATTTTGTAAGCCTGTGGCAAAACCAGGACTGTATTTATTGTCTTTCATATAGGAATATGCTAATAGTTAATCCAGAGTAATCATGTTATGTATCTGTTACAGTGCCTGCTCCTAAGAAAACAGAAGCCTGGAAGGGACTATTTTACATATTCAAGAGACTAATGCTTGACAAATCACTATACTCAGAGATTTAGCCCTCGTGAGAGGAAAGGCTGAAGACTGAATATCATGTGAACTGTCTTCTGTGTGGCACCATGTGTTAAGCAGCTCTGAGAAGCTGTGGAGACGTCCTGCTGGGGAGCTTTCCTGTGGGCAGGCATTATACTCTAATATATACACAGGGGTGTCTTGAGTTTTGAGATTCTGTTATTATATTTGGTGGTTCTATGGTACTTTCTTATCCTCTACTACAGTTGTGTTGTTATAGGTACCATTTCATCCAGCAAGGTCAAAAGGCCCCGGACTAAATTGATCACTTATCAGTGGATCTTTAGAAATGGCAGTGAGTGAAAGCCATTTGTTATGGGAAATCCATTTTTAATGGGATTTATGCATCTGCTCTTCCTTTGAGGACTAACAGTCATTTTATTGTCAAGCCAGAAGCCTTTTAAAAAGTCAGTCTGGAGTCAGTCACTGTGCAGCTTTAAAGACATTTGATCACAGTAATTTGTGTAAAGGTAATTTATGGGATAGACATTAACAGTGACTGTTTCCAACCCCTTCAAGGGCAAACAGGTCGTAGCTCTTGGTAGAGAGAACACATACAGACACTCACTTCTTAGATCTCTCCCTCTGTATTTCACTCACTTGCCTTGAGGGATGAAAGCTTTCAAAGGTTCATGTGCTTCCCCTCCTCAGATGGGGCCCCCTATCGTTCCTCTGGACTAACCAAAGCCGACGAGCCATGACACTCTGGAGACGGCACAAAGGCATTCTGCTCTATCTAGCTACTCTATAAAACATAGTTCCTAGATAAAGGTATCCGATCAGGCAATCATACGATTCACACAGGCTGTGTACCGACTGGTTGAGCTATGGTTCTCTCTTGCCAATAAATCTACGAGAAGATTTATATCATTCTCAAGTTTGGCTGCGAAATATAAAGCTTTGGATAGCTGGAATCAGCTAGCCTGGCTCAACCAAATGCAAAAATAATCAACCTACCACCAAATCGGGACAAAAACCAAAAACGGCAAAGCCAGGCTAACTTTTACCTGTTTCCAATCGTTGTGCTAAGCTAACAGGCTGTGGGCTCCAGCTATGTAATTAACTTAGATACATTAGAGATCATTACAGTTCCTCAAAGCTCTGACTTTATGCTGCCTTCTAATGAAAATACTGTGTGCCCCCCTCTTGATGCAAGAGCCCCAAGTTCAAGAGTTGTGACGCGTTTGCTAATGTTTTGCTAAAAAAGAAAGAAAGAGGTAGGCCATAGAACATTTTCTGTCATAGAGTTTTTCTTTGACATATTATAATAAGACGGAGGAAAATGTCTATATTTCCAACAGAATTATCTTTTGTCTCTGTCAGTTTGCTTTCCTGCATTATGATAACCACTGGCTACATTGCTAAATTGTTAACTTTGTTGGTTTCTTTACAACAACATTAACATTAATATTGCCAATGTTTAGCAGTGTTGTTCTCACAACTAAATCACATCCTATAAACAACTACACATGTTGTAACCACAAGTTTCACTTGAAGGCAGCCACAGTAGTTTCTGTTGGCTTGGTAAAAAACGGTTATAAACTGTGTGTGTAAAGTCCTGAGATGCTGTTAAGGCGATGAGTGACTGTTGTGATGATTTCAATGCATCGTCTTCTGCTGTCAAATTGTCTTCAATCAACCACTATATCCTTTTTCTGAATATTCCCTTTGTACATCACCCAGCTCGACAGGCTCACTGACACATTATGAGATGGATGAGACCCAAGCTGTTCCCAGGTTGTATTGTTCCCCAGCCTGCCGCCACCTCTTCTAAAGTGCCTTCAAGCCTAATTCCTCTTCCAGGCCTGTGGGGAGGGGGGGATGGGACCTGCGCCCCCAGTCCAATCAGCCTCTCAGCAAGCACACAAAGGTCCTGCTGCTTCTACAACTGGAAACTTGGCTTGATGGTGAGGAGGGCATACTGCTGGACTGGAGTCAATTGCATTTCATTTCAATCAGGAGATTCAGCTGGGTATCTTTTTCTGCCCAGATGATGAACAAGGTTACCTTTTTTTTATGTCTAATTTAATTTGAAAACATTGGCTAACTGGATGAAAATGTTGGATAGAGACAGGGATTTCAGCTGGAGCTCTTACTGGTTCTCAATATTAGATGACGCCCTGCTTTTTAGGCCTACATTCCTTCATCCGTTCTGATTTGTCTCTCCACCAGCATCATTAACAGCAGGCTGGATGGTTAGTGAAGCAGCAGAAAAAGCCTCAGGCACACTGATGCAACATAGAAACACCACTGATAGATGGTTGGATTTAAAGCAAACGTTACATACTTTGGAAAACTCTCCTATTCACGTTCTGGTGGAAAGTTAAAGGGGAAGATTGACACCAATTACATGTCCATTGAAAATCAAGCTATAGCTAGCGGACGGCTATCTTATCTTAGCATAATGACAACAAAAAAAGACAAAAAAAACGGGTACAATTCCAGCCCGGCTCTATTCAAAGGTAACAAAATCCTGCTACCAGCATTAAATTAACATGCTTTCTCTGTTTACACATTTCCAGTTCTATGATAAGCTGCAACTCCCTGAAGCTCAGACACCATGGCTTTTTTTCACATTTAAATAGGTCACCTACAACATTTCTTCCACACAAGTACAATACATGAAAAACCAACAGCACATGATCTTATGGTTTATCTAAAGAGGCTTAGTAAAAACTGCATGTGCCTAATTGTTCAGCATGACAGCACAGAGCCCTTGTTTATGTGAACTTGGGATGTCTGTTCTCGTCCACGGGAAGTGCCCCATATCAGGGAGACAGAAGAGAGGCCACCCACAGGGCCAGGAGCTGTCATCACTGAATCACTGGGGGCTGAATTTAGTAAATTCTTAAGAAGAAAAATCCCACCTTCTATGGAGAAACGTACAAAAGAGACCTCATTCTCTGGGAGGGAGATTACTGGGAGGGCTGGTGCAATTATGCGTGCTCATGCTGAATGGAGTGGAGCACAGAGTTGTAGCTAATCTGCAACTCAAACAAGAGTAAATCTAATCAACGGCAAATTACAATGCCAGGCACAGGAAAAACATAACAACTTGGGATGGGTGTGTGTTTGTGCTGGTGATTCATGCTATGCTTTTCAAACCACAGCGAAATACGCCTTCAGGCTAGAAACAGCTTAGTCAAAGGAGCCCCTCAACGCATTTGAAAGGAAATAAACACGCAGCAATGCAAGGACAGGTAACATGTTGAAATACAGAAATACATTACACTGGAAGACTATCAATCAGAGCCTGTCACAACAGCACTCGAACCAGAGGGACATAATTCATGATAAAGATGTCAGAAATCTGTTTACTTGAAAATGAAGCATAAAAGAGCTTTAAGAAATCTAAATTAATTGTTTCAGAGGTTGTAGTTGGTGCATGTTCAAGAAGAGAATGGGGTTTACTAAAAACTTGGCATCTTTGCTAGCATAATTAACTAGTCCACCATGAATCCTATGACAGTTTTAAAAAGCCAATGCCGAATGAGTCATACCAAACTATTTTTATATTGTTATGTTAATAATTCATCCAAGACCTGAGTTTAATTCTGTAAAAGCCTCATTATGTTGGTCTCAACAGAGAGTGGGGGAACGCTTTTACAATAAGAGTCAACAGTGCGAAAAATCTGAGGTAATCCTCAAGGATTTCTTATCTTAATACTGTAACTTAACTTGATGCAACACTTGTGATGTACAATCATGTGAAGCATCTTTGTGACTAACAAACAAGAATGGGAGTAATGGCTGAGGGGGTCTTAAATTGCCACTATTAATATCTATGGAGATATTAAAACTTGTATTGCCCAAAACATAGTGACAAGTAAGGTTCATTTATCAAAATTCATTTTAACTTTTAAAGTGACGTTTAATTTTTTTAATCCATTTAAAGTTGTGAAGTGAGGATTCATTTTTAAAATCCATTCAAAGTGATAGTCTTTTGAGATTTTCAACGTAGTTAACACACATTTTGATACTTCTAATGGTTTGCATTTTGTCTGGTTCCAAAGAACCCACATATTTCCCTCAGCATGGGCATGACGCTACAAGTAGATAAATGCTATTCATGAAGTCCAGTTTGAATAATATGTCAAAAAATCTAAGATTGCCAATTCCTTTAAGGCAGGATTCTACAACAGAACATGTATAATCGCAACAACTATTTTGTCCTCCTGCTCAATGCTTGCAATGATATTAATGTAATGAGCACAATACTAACATTTACACACTAATTATTGATATTATATTATACTATATTATTGAATAGATATTGAAAGTGCATATGCATGTCTTTTATTGGTCTTAACAATGTGTTGCAGCGTGATGTTGGATTCCGATGATGAACCAGTAAGAACACTTTTGCTTGACGACCCTACATTGTTTTAGCAGGATTTGTCTGCGTCATGCCCCCCTGCAGTGCCAATAAAATGTTCTCATTGAAATGAATGAGGAGGCTGTGTTGTTTAACACCACTCTATTGTTGGTCTAAATGTGGCCTGAGGTGTGAGAAGGGTAACGACAGGCCTGTCCCCGATGAGGAGAGACAGGGACAGCATTTCTCTTGTGCTTTTTTGGTTCTTGACTAAAAATAAATGTCTCATGAGGAACGATTTACAACCAAATAAAGAAATATCTAGTTTGTCATTTGAGCCTAGAGATACCAGTAGATGTTGGCAGAACATTTTCGTAAAACATGCCATTTATGTCTAAGCTGTTTTTTGGCAAACAATATTTTAATTGGAATAAGAGAAGCACCAAATGAAACCAAAGGATTTTTCTATTTTATTTCTGCAGAAAATGAAACAGAGATAAAGAAGATTGTAGAAATGTTTCCCAATTATTACATGTCTATGTTCTGCATACGTTTAAGCAATATGCCTTATGTAAATGTCAAATGCCACTGATTAACAACAGGTGTAGAGCTGATAGCAATAATATGTCAGCATTGATAACTCCTGATAAAATGTCAGGACAACCTAGTGGGGAATGGAGCCATTCTTGGAAAACATCTATGCCACATTCCCGTGAGATCAGACTGTTTTTCCTCCTCTGCCTCTCCTCTGACGTCAGTCTGCGGCCGATGGGACCAGCCCCTTCTTGGCACCCTGGTGGTACTGGCTCTCCAGCTTCCCTGTGAGGGAAAGGGGGTGAAAGGGAAGGGTGGGAGGGGAGAAAAGAGGAAAGGATGAATCAAAACCCCATCAAAGGGACAGTGACCTTTCTGAGAGCTCAAGGCCAGCTGATTAGAGGCGGCCTCGGATAGACAGAGGAGAGAGAGGCTATGATGAGGTAGTAAAAGGCGTATCTGACCTTTTACTCCACTTCTAAAAGCAATTAGAACATAACTTTTGTTAGCAGTGAAATAAGGTGCCTTTATTCATTTATATACTGTAGATGTATTGTAATATATACTGTTAGTGAGGAGCTACAAAGAAGGTTTTTAAGTCTTCTACAAATAACAAAAATACATTTTAAACAGAATTAACTATTTAAACAGTCACATATTCTACATTTAAAAATATCAATACGCAGAATTTCAAAGTAAGAACTTAAAGTCACTGAGGGAAATATTGTCCCTACCTATTTTTGCTGTTGATTGTTTAATGGATCTGGTATCTTAGTTCACCTTGAACCCATCTATTACATTATGCATCTCAGCAGATAGCACAGCTGTTCAAATAAAAACACAGTCTGTGATGACCATCTCATATGTGACAGTGTTGTGTGTGTGTGTGATAGCTGTCTTGATTAATCAATTGAATGCAACTGTGGTAAATGGCATCTCTTTATAGTTAAGTGTATTGCGTTATGTTTTTGTTTGGTTTAAAAAGATAACACATTGTTTAAATTAAATTTAGATTTGAAATTTTGGACGATGTTTTCAATCTGAGTTTTTGTGGGTTTTGTAATCTAACCAAGTTCCTATAATTATGTAATGTATCTAGTCATAGAGTATGGATTGGAGTAGGAACATCAAAACTATGTGCACTTGTGAAAATCATAAACAAGCCTCACAAGAATAAACCTTGTCTGGCATTGTTCAAATCTACAAGATGGTATGGTCGGCATTAAACGGATAATGCATTATTCAGTTTGAAAATCATTATTATTCATTATGCAAAAAATACTAGGGGGCCTATTATTGATCCTTGTGGGACACCTTTATCAAAATGATCTGCAAAAACAGCCAGAACTCGAGCAAAAAGACAAACCAAAGAAAAGCAGCATATAAAAAGCCCTTTCAGTAGTAACAATCAAATCGTTTCTCAGTGTGCTCCACTGATGCATCCAAGGAATGTAAATGTCTGTGCATGTTTCTTGGTTTGCCAAGAATGTAACAGTCAAGGATTCTTTCATTAGGCCTAGGCTCCACGGGAACGAAAACGGGTTGAATCCGCATATTTCTCATGCGTATAGCCCTTTAAGCTCGACGACGCCGTAACGGAAACTTAGAAACAGACCCTGCAAACGACAACGGGTCCAAAGGTGGATAGATCTGGGAACGGAGCGCTCTGGGGGGTCCAACGGGACCGTGTGGTAGCCTATACGGTCATCCGTTTCTGATAATGACGACGCAATAGCCCCGCCTCTCCCCACCTCTGCTGCTCACCCCCGCAAAAGTACACTGCACACTGAATTCAGATTATTTATCTTTATCTCGATATGGACATAAATGCGAGTGAAGTCTAATCTGACAGGACGGAGACACGCAGCTCCTCCCGCTGTGATGCAGCGGGAGCAAAACACACACTTCAAGTCAGATCATCACCCTTAGCTATTTTAATTACCTCTCAAACTACCTAAACTAGTTATAAATATGTTTATTTTTACTGTCGGGTCACTCATTACAGGATCAGCTGCTGCATGAGACAGACACTGACGCTGTCAGAAGAGAGGAAAAAGAGACAGGCTCTGTGTATTTGATGATTATATATCATTATATCGTCGTTATTCATTTGTTTTAAAGCTCAATAAATAACAATGAAGACCTTTGACCGGCACTTTTATAATTTTGTCCGGAAGATTTAAATTTTAACACACGTTGACCGGCGAAAAACTCTGCCCGGTTCCGTCGGCCCCCACCAAGGAGAATAAACAGAACTGCAGCCATGACAACCATTCTTCTTCGCTGCTTTTGTGGAGGAAGTTGCTGCTTTGGTGGAGGAAGTTACAGCGCCACGTACAGGCTCGGCATATGTACTGCAGCTTTTCCAGCGGTTGGATGTAAACGGAGCCGTCTCGTGTAGCTTGACACAATCCGGTGTATATTGCGTGGGGACGGAAGGTTTTTTGCGGTTGCGTTTGCGTTACTCCGATGCGTTTTGCCGTATGCGTTCCCGTGGAGCCGGGGCCTGAATCACTTTGTTTGGATTTTGCAGCTCAGCCTGTTATCAGCACCTGTCCTGCAGGAACTTGCTGATTAGCCGACTGTCATTTACAGGCTGTAAAACAGAAGCCTCCATTGTTGTGAGAATCTCCACGGTTATAATTTATTGCTCATGGATTCAATGTGAAGCACAGACGAGAATGCTTACAAAGATGATAACAGCTGGGAATCTTAAAGAGGGATTTTACCAAGTTGCTATTTATATAAATGCTTGTAGCCATGGTGTGTAAACAAACCCCCTGCAGATACTGACCGGAACTGACCCCCTAACAGACTTTATCTGACACCTTTCACCTTTAATACATCAAATTCCTCTGTTTCCACTGATTCTCTTTGCAGAACAACCTCGGTTGGTTTTAATAACCATTGCCTGTCTTTAACTGCAAGGCAAATAAGAGTGCCTCCTGCTTGGTAAACCATGACAGTAGCTTGGAGGGGCTGGGGTGAAACAAAAGGCACAGGCAGGGGTAGTGGTTGTCACTTGTCCTTTATTTTCATGTTGTCACGTTTATGGCTGACTGTGGGTAGTAGCAGCATAAACAAGGTGTTTAGGAGAAGTGCTGTTTGCTCACCATTTCCAAGCCTGTCTGAATGCCTGTCAGTGTGCTACGCCAGGAGCGAGTGCTGCTGAGGCGTGGACACCTCTGGAATTTGGCTGAAGGCTGCCAAATGGTTATCCAAGATAGTTTTAAATAAATCCACCATGACAGAAATGCTTCATTCTTGATTCATTGTTTGTGTTGGGCGGGAGAGTGCGTCAGTTATTATACAGAAAATTGGCGCTTGTAGTTTTTCTTGTATGTTTTTCCGAATGTTGTGTATGAGCAAATATGAAAACAAACTTATAAGGGATAGGTCAAAACAAGCACTCCGGAAAAAAGCTTTATGCAGACGTACTGCACGGTTAGCTCCATGTGCAGATTTCCCAACATTTGTAGTTGCATACATATTCTGTGGTACAACTATGGTATCATCCATTCATTATTCTTCGGGCCACCTAGGAGCTAGGCAAAAAGCTGTAAAACACACACTGACATATAAATACCTTTTACATTTGTTAACTAGTTACCTATTTGCACTTCCAGGAGACATGGAGCAACATTAGCATTTATTCAAAGTCATTACCACCTGGCACATGTAAGTTCAATATTCACGGGTCTCCAACTCCTGAGGGAAATACTTGGGTCTTTAGCTGCTAAATACTCCACTGTGTTTACCAGCGAGTGCTAACGCTGTCTATTTGCTACTAAGTGATGGGCATGTGGCTTACGCCTTTTCACTCAAAACAGCTATCTAGTGTGGCAAAAACTGGCTGTGAGAAGGGAGAAAGAACCAAAACAGTTTGTACTAGAAAAACAAAGCAAGCTAAAAAACCTAAAAAAGCTTCTTTGAGCAGCAGGAAACTGGAGTTGGGAACTAGCCCTTTGATATAAATGTAGTCATTTGCTGTTGTCTATACGTAGATACCAAAGAGCCAAATGTTCTGTTTTCCCTGTGCAGCTTTATGTTGTTTCTTGATTCAAGCCCCGTTCACACATGCAGTTCAACCCTAAAATTATCCAGACATTACCCAGAGGAGCTTCATGTGAACACGCCAAGGCCGTAACCATGGAGTCAACATTGGGGGGGACCAACAATTAAAAAGTCATAGAATAGCAATTTTATTTAAAATGTTTTATATCAGTTAGGCTATATATTGGGGGGGGGCATTTTGAGCGTATCTGAATATTGGGAGGGATGTGTCCAAGCCTGTATGATGTCTGATTGAGCCCATGTGTGAATAAAGTGGCTCATCGTCTGCGAGCTTCATTACAAGTGAGTGGCCTATAACCAGAAGATAACAAATATCAGGAAGAAGATTTAAACATAAATGCCAACAAAAATGTCAAACTGGAGAGACAACTAGATGTTGGAGTTGTTGAAAGGGCCAAAATAGTAAGACAAACTCAAGGAACTGCAAAAGACTTGACTTGCCGGCTTCGTGACCTTGGAATAACACACTACATGGTGTGCCCCCTGCATTCTGTACATATAGCCACAACCCCTCAATTAAACCAAACACAGTATTTCCAATAAGTGGGAATGCCTCCTACACAGATGCTCTCCTGTTGTGTGCTACATGTGTGAAAGGTACACTGAGTGTTCTTTAGGACATTTTTTCCACTTATTAAAAATAAATCCTCGCATGAAGAATGGCGAAATAACAAGATTTTAAGAAGTTGACCACGATCGACCAAGGACGACAACAACAACATCAACAACAACAGAGAGTAAGTGGGCCTTGTTGTCACTTCTGTCAGAGAGGGTATTTTCTGGTTGTATGAACAAGTCAGACTCATTATATTTGCCAAGAAAGTCAACCCAGCAATGTTACATATTCCTTGGTTGAAGGCGACTTTTGTTAATGGCTGTGGAGCTGCTGAGCTGTCGCATTTCAGAGTAGAGCGAAGAGAGCTGGAGGGAACACAAGTAAAAGGAGGAGTGGGTGGAAAAAACAGGGAGACAGCAAAAATGAGACAGAAGGGATGAGGAGAGGGAGGGGGTGGTGGGAGAAGGGGATACAGATAGGAGAGGTAGAGAGAGGGAGAAATAGAAAGGCTGGCCCATCGATTGGCTGAGATAATTTCCCATTGATTGCTGCACTGTTTGGAGATTGCTAGAGAAAGGTTTATTGCCCACATGCTGCAGCTGGGGAGGAGGCCATAAAATAAGCACAGGTTGTCTGCAGAGGCTGGCGCTCCATC